TGTTTTCAAAGACCATGGTGTAAAAAGAAGACACACACAAGTTATCCCGTAACTTGTAAGGTTTTTGGTTGGTTGGTTGGTTGGTTGGTTGGTTATGATGTTTTCCCACTCACCTCTAAAAAACATCCTCAAAGCCAACCCACCTGCCAGGAGGAAAGCAGGTGATACTTGAGCCTATCTATTCAAGTGAAAGGAGTAGGCCCTGGGGAATGCGCCTTTCTCAATTCAAGCCACAAGAGCGCAGGCCAACTTGCTGGCCGGCCCCGCACCCATCCACAAACCCCGCCGCCCTCTTCCTAGGGAATAAACCACACCCTGCCCTGCTGCCTACGCGCCCGGCGCGCAGGGCTCCGTTGGCTCCAGATTCCCGGGGAGGCGCGGAGGAGCGCGGGCCGCCCCAGGTCCCGGGTTCAGCTTCGGGAACCCAACGTAGCCAATAGGAAGCCGCCACCGCCCGCCCCACCGCCCTCGCCCGCATCCCCACGCCCCTCCCGCCGCCGCGCCCCCTGGCCTCCCCACCCCGGTCCCTGCGCCCATCACACCTGGCGCGTCGCCGTCGGCCGAGCTCCGGCGCGCCGCCGCCAGGAGACACAGGAGGAGCAGCGGCCCGGATGTGGGCGCGCGGGGCCCCCGCGGGCCGGGGAGGGCACGCATGTCGCGGCTAGGTCCGCCTCGATCCTCGTGGAGACTGCGCCTTCCGCTCGGTGCCGTCGGTGCCCGGAGTCGCCGCGCGCACTCGCGGCGGCCCGACGCACGCTGCCAGTCCCGGAGGAAGGACGCGCGAGCAAAGGCGGAGTGGGAGGGGCCCGGCCGCCCTGCCCTCCTCCCGGGAGACGGTCGCACTGCGCCCGGGCCCGCCCAGCCCTGCGCCTGGCCTGCCACCCATTACTCAGCGGCAGCCGACGGCGGGCGCGCCCGGACGTGCGGGGCCACCTCCTTGCCGCGTCCCCTCCGGCCTCCGCCCCCTGGGCTCTAGCCGGTCGAGAAGGAGGCTTGCTAAAGACTTGGCGAGACCTCATCTCTACAATTAACCAAACATGAGCCGGGCGTGGTAGCGCGCGCCTGGAGTTCCGACTACTCGGAAGGCTGAGGCGGCAGGATCGCCGGAGCCCAGCGGGTCGAGGCTGCGGTGGCCGGGAGCGGCCACTGCGCTCCAGTCGGGGCGACCGAGTGAGACTCCGACTCAAAAAAAAAAAAAAAAAAAAAAGGACACAGGGCAGGTGATGTCTAGCCTGGGCACTTCATCTGAGGCAGGGGTCAGTTACTTATGTGATGGGACAGATGAGACAATAGAGGACGCTTTTCTGTTCCCCTTTCCCTGGACGTCTTTGGGCTTTTCTTATTAAGGCTTTTCTTATAAGCATATTTTTGTGACAGTATAAGGTTCTATCCAGCTACCTGACAACTCGGACTAACCTTTCTTTGCTCTGCCTACCAATCACACACATCTTCCAGTCTCTTAAATGTTAACTGATTCTTTCCTCGGATTAAGATTTCAGAGTCCCAAGGTCCCATAGTGTGTCTGATTTTATTTTGCTCTCGTTTACTTAACCTAACAGCTTTTGAGGAGCCACCTAGAGCTCAGGAAACAAAACAACCGAAAGCGGATGCTGTGTAAACTGCACAAAGACATTGACCTTTGTTAAACTGGAATACCATTTAAGACAATGCTATTTCTTACCTATAGGACTGTAGCTTGAAATTTTCAATGCTCATGACCAAATGAAATAAAACAACTAAATACTAGTGCTTTATCTGAGAAGGGAGGAGGAATCCGCATTATAACATAAAACTCCATTGATTTGATTACTCTCCAGGATGGTATAACACATTGAAAGATATTATTAAAAGTATTTCTCACTCCCCTTTTATTTTTTGAAGGTCAGCTTTGACACTCATAAATTCAAAAATATATCAGTGTCAAAGAAAAGGATTAAAAGAAAACGTTAGATACAAATTCTGAAAATCGAGCCATTTAACAAGAACTATGCTTACTCCAGATAGGAATAGTTTTTTTTTTAATTCGTATATATTACTAAAATATTCCTCTATTTCTGGTTTAATATTTTATGTACAAAACTTTGGAAAAGAATATAGATCACTCAAATTGATAGTGAGAGGATATGAATAATACAGTTCATTCAACAATATTGTCTGCTGGGCATGGTAGCTCAGACCTCTAATTCCAGCATTTTGGGAGGGTGAGATGGAAGGATCACTTGAGGCCAAGAGTTAGAAACCAGCGTGGGCAACTAGGAAGACCTTCTTTCTACAAAAAAATAAATAAAAAATAGGTCATGGTGGCTCCTGCCTGTAGACCCAGCTACTTCTGAGGTAGGAAGGATTGTTTGAGCTCAGGAGATGAAGGCTGCAGTGAACTGTGATTGTGCCACAGCATTCCAGTCTGGGCAACAGTGTGAGACTGCCTCAAAAACAAACAATGTTATCCACCAAAGGCAGGCATTGTGTTCAAAGTAGGTTGGATGTTGTCTATGGAACGCGTGCACACACACTAATCTAGAGAGCTATTTGTTTGTGACTACAAATCTAAGAAAACTTCTCGGTCAGAAAATTATTGTTACAGTGATTAAACCTTTTGAATAAAACCTTATAAGAGAACTCGAAATCCTAAGACATACACTATGACCCTCTCAGGGCCTTGGCTGGGCTAGCTAACCCAAATAACTTGATCAATGGCTGTAAAGGCAAGCCCCTTTCTTGCTGCCCCACATCCTGTTTCAGGACTAACTGCAAAGATTTCCCCATACCTAGGTGGAGTGTTAACAGTAAGCACTTCTCTTACCAAACTATACTCTGACCTTTCCCAATTAATCCCATAAAAATCCTTAGGCACAAATTTATCCTTCTTCAAATGAGCTAACCTTATTTAAGGAAAAATTGTCTTTTCAGTTGAATCAGGAAAAAGCGCCTTGCCCAGATTGATGCTAATCCCCACTGTTGCTTTTGCTGTTAGAGCAAAACAGGTTGAGAAAAAAATATATCATTCTCGTTTGCTAAGCATTTTGAAACTTCTTTCACCATTGTTCCTGTACTATATTTAGATATTTGATGTTTTCAGACTTATCCACACTACATTTTTTCAAATGTTCCATATCTTTTAAAACCAGCTTATCCACTACTACCCTTTCCTCCCCTGAGTTTGGTGAGCTCTAACCTATTGAATACTGTTGAAATAACACTGCATGGATGTCTGGCTCCAGACCACCAGATCTTCTACTTCCTGTCTCTTGGAACCCTTAGAAGACAGCAGCTGAATAAGAAGTACTACTCTACTACCGTGAGACCACCACACTGTGAGAAGCCTGAAAAGTAAAATAAAAAAGGAATATGAGAGTTGATTGTGTATACAAAAGAACAGTTCACAAACCTTAAATTATAAGTGATAAAAAGCTTGATTCACAAGAGTTATGATGAAGATTGTAAAGCATCAATGAAGTTTGTAAACCATCAATGAAGTATGTTGATCTCTATCGTGATTGGCTATTAACCTCTCACAGAAACAAAGATCTGAGTATCACATGTTCTCACTCATAGTGGACCTTGAACATCCAACATAATACTATAAGAAAATGACTGACAGTGGTGGGAAACGAGGGGGGAGGGGAAGGGAGATGGGATTAACGGTAGTAAATATCTGTCTGGGTAGACACCTCTTATCAACAAGGGTGCCTGAACGGAGCATATTTGTATACCTAACCCTTAACTGTACACCACATTATCATAATAAAAATATTGATAAAAAAACCACACATTCTTTTTTAGGACAAGTAGAGCTGTATAAGCTTATCTATCTGCAGCTGATCAGTTCAATTTTATCATACTGACAAGGAAGAAACCTTAAGTTTTGCTCATGGTTAGAGCTTGCATTTCAGGGAAGTGAGGACAGCTTAAGTTTTGGTTATGTGGCTATGGATAGTTGACCTAGGGATATAGCCAAACTGTGGCCTCCATTTCGATTATACTTTCAAAAGTCCCCCACTTTGGTTATCTTCCCAGTTGAACTGAGAATGTGACCAGCTATTAAGTTTTACTCTTAGTCACCACATGTTGTTTCTCTTTTCATGGTCATCTGAAGGTCATGAATCAGGATTTCAATAGGCTCTTCCAATGATTCAAGTTCATGTAGTTTGCATTGTTCAGTCCTTATTGAGATCACCCGATGAGTCAGTGACTGCTGACAGCATTTAAGACTCTTGGGAGAACATAACTCTCAAGGGAGATTAGCAATATGAATAATAGGAGAATAATACCACGAGTTTGAACTACCCCAAAGCCAAAGTCTCCAAGAACTAAAATTTAACCGGCTGAATAAATTAATTGATAATACCTGCTTGATCTGATGGAATACTCATATCTAATCTTTTAAATGTAAAAGATTTGGGGCTACAATTCCTGATTTATTGATATGGAAATAGTTTTTCTCTAATAAGAGCACAAGCTCCTCCTTGTTAAGGTTAGGATATCAAAAAACTCTTCTGTTTTGGAGTACAACTGAAGCTAAACTATTCCATTTAGAGTTTATCTCTTGAAGAGTATTTACAGTGTCATTAAAACTCTTTTCAAGAGCTTCAGAGATATTGATACATGATCTTCCTAATCCAGAGACTCCTAGTCAAGGGAGCAGTGTCCTAAGGAAAGAATAAAATCGAGATCTTCTGTATAATCAAGTTTGAAGGAGCACAAGAAATTAATTGGGGGGGACTACTTTATGTACAAATAATCTCAAGTTAAAAATTTGACTAACATTTAGAAAGTCATATCTGGTTATTAGGGGTAAGAAATAGCCCAAACAATAGTATCCAGACCATTTGGGAAAACTTTGTATATCTTATTATTGCAAAAATTAATAATTGTTGACACAAAGAGTTAAAATAGATCTCATTACCCAACAATCAGGTGTGGTATGAGTGTCATGGTTATTTTTTGTCACATTGATATTTGTACATTGCCAGTTTAAATTGGAGTCAGAGCAAAAGACATCTAATAAAGCAATCTATGTTACCACTACCAATTAGGTAAGATTGGTTCTTTTCCAGATATGCCCTGAATTTTGGCATATACAAATTGTTGCTAATCTCACATAATGGTGTTCTAGAAGCATTCTATTTGCTCACAGTTTCCATTAAACCAATGTTTAGCTTCAGTGAGTTCTTTAATAGTATAATTGAGGGTGTCAGTCATTTTCTGTTTTTAGGTTTATATCATTATATATGAATCCAATCTCCATCATCTGAATCAAATCAGCAGCATTAATTGCAGAATGAATTGGGGATCTCACCTAAGTCAGATTCAGTACCACTGACATTTTCTATATATACACTGAAGTTACTGGTAACAAATTTTTTAGTGATTGTGTGCCAACCCTTGGCTTCTAATGTTTCTACCCAATGCCAACCCAGCTTTTCATGAGTGTTTAGCGGAATTATTTTATTTGCCAGGGGAAGGATGCCCATCTTTTCATAAAACCATTTTCCCTAATTGGTCACCTAAGCAAGTATGCAGGCTAGTTCTAGTGTTAACTGAAATTCTTCCCAGGCATTTAAATGATTAATAACCAACAATTACTCTGGTTAGTAAGAGAATCTATGTGTTGAACTCACTATAGTAGACTTTCGTGGGTATTCAGCCTGTGTGATGAAGGTTCCTAGCAGGAACAGAAATATGAGTTTAAATATTTTGTGTTAGTTTGCAAGTAGCTAGTTTACAATGATCATGATGGATATAAAAACAAGATC